TACCTTTACTTTAGAGGACCCAGTGGAAACTTTTTAACCCGCGCCCTGGTTGGGGGTGTTTTATGCCCCCCCCCGTTCCAGTCGTTTCGCACTCTCTCCCAAATTAATGCGCCGATCACCGCGAAAATTTCAGAACCCTCTTGTAAATCGGTTTTACACCTCGTTACCTTTTCTTCCACAGTCTATGATAGGTTGGCCGCAAATGACGTCAGAGTGACGTCACGTTCAGGCATTTCCGACCCAAAAGAGGTTTGATGGGAGGAGCTGTCAAGACCAAAGTTTTAAAGATAAAGGAAAATGTTGAAAAACAAAAAGATATAAAACGAGCAGCGCTAAAAAATTGCTATCTTGTTTGTTATATATTTGCTTTGATTTTGAACCCCAAATTAACCCGCGCCCCGTTGGGCTCTGCCAAGCAACGCAACCCGTTGGGGGGGGGCAATTTGCCCCCCAAAGATCTCGAGAACCACGCAACCTAGCGACAAGCGGCAACCGTTGTTGGATAGCCCTATCAGGGAACTACCTTATGACCCAATTTTGTTGACCTAGGTCAAACCGATGATGTCACAGGTCAGGTCAAAGGTCGAATTTTCACCGTTTACAGGCATTTCAAGAAATGCGTTGTAAAATCGAGTAAAATGCATTTCATTGAAAATCATCGATGGGGAAATGTTCTTCAAACACATATTTTGCTATTTGAGGTCACTGATGTCAGGTCAGGCCACAGAGGTCAGGTCACTGGGGCGGGGGGGGGGGGTCACAATATGAAAGTGTCGCGTGATACATGTTTTATGGTCCATTTTACATGACAAATGCGATTATGTGGGTCAGGCAGACTTTTGGGCCAGCTTTGGTCACGTTTTGGTCAAGGTCAGGTCAAGGTCAGGTCAAATTAGGTCAAATTTCAAAGTTGATATTTTTGCACAAAATGGGTATTGATTTGATGCAGCTCGTCAAGGGGAGTTCAATGGTGGTCTTTGTTTTGCCCTACGTGGTCTAGAATCGCTAAAAATTGAGTAAAAAAATCTGACGTCATCATTTTTGAACAGTTTTTCGCTATATCTTGGCCAAAAAAAGAGATATTGATCTGAAATTTGGTATGTATGTAGAAGAGCGCTGGGACTATCACATATATTCCGTTTTTTTTCGAAATTCGGAGAATTTTTTGATTTTTTTTTAGTTTTGGAAAAAAATAATTTTTTTGAATTTTTTGGGTCAAAAACCCAAAATTTTAAAAATCCCAGATAACAGTTTTGTAGCGCCGCTTTTTGTCGACTAGACCATATAAAGAAGTTTGAAATTGCTTTGTAACTGTAGATTTGGTGAGCGTTTCAAGATTGCATGTTTTTTGCTCATTTTTGCTCGAACACGACCTCAGTTTGACCTCAATAACTCCTTACCTGAGGTGACCTAAGACTTGAAATTTGGTGTGAAGGTGTCAAATTGATGCCCTGGAAGGTACTGACAATTTGGCGGCGCTGCGCGCCGCCGTTTTCTTGCTATTCAGGAAAAACCACAGGGAGGGGCCAAATTGCCCCCCCCCAACGGGGCGAGGGTTAAAAAAGTGACTTTTGAAATAATCCCCTAAAATGCAAAACAAAATAAAAAACTGATCTTTTTGGTTTGCATTTTAGTTTTGCAAAACAAAAAGATCGGTTTTTTTGCAATTCCCGCGCCCGGAATGGGCGCAAGAATTGCGCGTGAAACACATATTTTGCTACTTGAGGTCACTGATACCAGGTCAGGTAACAGAAGTCAGGTCACTGAGGACCACAATATGAAAGTGTTGTGTAATCCTTGTTTAAAGTACCCGGCGGCCGCTGGGCCTCCGCGCCACCCGCCGTCCGCTGGGGGGCATATAGTTGCCCCCCTTTATTTCTGCGACGATATCGTCGCAACGCGAAAAGATAGAGAAGCGAAACTTTGCACATATCTTCCTGAATACATAGCCGAGGTTGTGTCCAAATTTAATGTCGATTTCATCTGAAATGACGTCACAGTGACGTCATCAGTGAAATTATAGATTTGCGACTCTCCAGTTTCCTCACGATATATCAGATATATGGGACCGTATATAAAGGGCCGATTATTGGTCAGGACCTAGATGGAAGTGTATTTAGGTGTTTCAGGATGACAGCAGGTGCTGTCTAGCAGACATGTGCATGGATCCGAAAAAATGGATCTGGGATCTGATCCCACGGATCCTGATCTCGGATCCGTCGGGATCATAGATCCAGCTCTGTAATTTATCGAGAGATCCATAGGGATCACAGATCCGAGTCTCATTTTTTGCTTGAGATCCAGTGATATCATAGATCCTCACTTATTTTTTGTTACCACATACATCCCAAAAAAGCACTTGTTTCAACTCACAAACGTTCTGTTTTAGTGATTTTATGTAATCGCACGTCATAATCCATAGCTTTGTGTCACTTATTGGCAAAGAAACCCTTTAACCCTATTCCTGGCGGGGGGGGCCTCAGGAGCCCCCCCCCCCCCTGAGGTTTTTTGGTTATTTCTCCCAAACGCGTTGAGCTAGGAAGCTCAAATTTTCTGACTTTTCCTAAAAGGCTTCTACGCAACATGTCTGAAAATTTTGAGTTGATCTGACCTCAGGTCAGGTCACCAGAGGCGGTTTGGTGACCCTACCTCAGAAAAGTTTGCAATCACGCCAGAGCTAGAGTTTTTGACCGATCAATTTCTTCTCTTCAGGCTTTAGTTAGGGTACCAGTATGTGCAATTTGTATATCTCGGAATTTTGATATCGGTGACCTAAGGTCAGGTCAGTTTCGCGACCTCCCCATTATAAGTCAATGGGGGAAAAATCAACTCCCTGTTTTTACCACTAAAACGGGTCGGAATGGCCCCATATACCATACATGACTTCATATACGATCAACCTTCACTACCTTGAGGTCTGTTTTGCTGTTGGGCAGCTGTGAGGTCATGTGACGTCATCAAAGGTCACCAAAGGTTTTTGGCCAATAACTCCGTACAGAAACAAGATACAGACGCGTGGATGGTCTCATTGTGTTCAGCTCGTCAAGACGCATCGAATGATATACATGATGACCTCGAGGTCACGTGACCTGAGGTCAACCTTTGACCTTGACCTTGCGAGGTCAACATATATATCATTCGATGCGGATTGACGAGAGGATCACGATGATGCCCTTAGTTTGTTCCTATCTTGACTAATTCGAAAGTTATTCGAGAAAAACTCTCTCCATATCTAGCGCCGCCATTTTGACTTTTTCGACCCCTGTGACGTCATCTTTGACCTGACCTGAAAATGACCTTAGTAAAAATTGTAGATCTTGACCGTGCGTATCCGATGCCGTTTACCGTTTGTCGCTATCTTGCTTCGTTCTCGAGATCTCAGGGGGGGGGCCGAATCGGCCCCCCCCGCCAGTTTCTTGTCCCGGCGGAGCCCGCCAGGAATAGGGTTAAAACATGGTTTCAAATGTGGTGCATGGTGGGATCCACTCAGATCATAGATCCATGTTCTTAATTTATCGTCAGATCATATGAGATCATAGATCCAAGATGTATTTTTCACGCCGGATCCGGTGGGATCATAGATCCCAACCTGTACTTTGCTTCGAGATCCACTGAGATCATAGATTCACCACTCGGATCCATGCACATGTCTGCTGTCTAGTTCATTTACAGTTGAGTTTCATGCTCAGCGACATCAGAAACGGTCCGTATAGGAAAACGACAATATTTTATGGCGTCACTGTGACGTCATCTTAAGTGCTACAACCACCAAATTTTGCTCAAACATTGCCTTGGTATTCATTTGAAGCTACCTTGAGTTTCACGTTCGTAGCTTATCAGGGTTCGGAGATATGCCGCAAAACGTAAAGGGGGGCAACTCTATGTCCCCCCCCCCAGCGGCTCGTGGGTTAAACATGCATAAGGGCTACAGTCTGACCGTCGAGGCCCTCTAGGTGGCCTCTGATGGCCCAAAGCCAGCCTCTGAGGGCCCAGCGCCAACCTTAGACTTCAGAGGACAGAGGGCCCCACGTTAACCTAAGAGGGCCTACATTGTCCTTAGATAGCCCCAAGCTGAGCTGTTCCCAGTGGGCCCCAATCTGGCCTTAGAAGACCCCACGCCGCTGGTCTTAGAGGAACCCACGCTGCCCTTATATTGCCCCACGCTGGTCTAAAGGGCTACGCACTGGCTTCTTTGGGCCCCACGTCCACATTTGGCTATTTAAGGTCCCAAAGCGGACTCTAAATGACCATGCTAGCCTCCGACGGCTCGACTTCGGCTTCTGAGGGCCCTACGCTGGCCTCCAAACCTTTGATAGAAGTTTGTTTAGACATGTTTACGTATGCTTAACTGATTAGGCAGAATTTTGGTGTACCGTTACCTACGGTATATGGTATGAATGTTAGGTATGGTGTAAAGGTCCGCTTATACGGTGCATATTAGGTGGTATATGACATTCTGATTTCTGGAGTCTGGTTTGTCCCCCATCCCCCAGTCGAAATTCCTTAGCCGAGGTCCTGCTGTGTGACTGTGTCAGTCCTGCTGTGTGACTGGCTGTATCCTATACATCCGATCCATCCTATAAGTATACATCTGGTGTTTCTAAGTACATCAGGAGCTAATCGCCAGGGGTCGTACAACCAGACCCTCCACTGCACCGTCCGCGTTATGAAAAAGGCCTGGCCACGGGGTAAACATTCGTAGTGATAAACGTGTCTTTATTATCTCTTTTTTTTTTGCGAAAAAGTAGTAACGATAGTAAATTTTGATATTGGTTACCTAAGACCTGTTTGCCTGCCTGCCAAGCTTGCCTGCCTGGTATGCAACAGTGCGGGTTACATGACAAAACATGTCGTAATACGATATAACACGTCGTTTTGTGACATGATTAGACACGACGCTGCACGACATGTCGTAATGCGTACGACGTAACGCTACGTACTAAGTCACCTTTAAATGATTAGTAGAAACGTAAAAAAACGGTAATTCTGCGTTCCAGATGGAGATGACAGATGTGCGTGAAGACCTGGCCGCCCTTCGCCGGGAGGTGGCCTCCCTTCGCGAGGAGGTGGCCAAAGTCCAGGGGGAGAACGCCGCACCACACGGTGCGGTGGTCCTCCTGGAGCAAGCACTGGTTGAAGAGCGGACCACTCGCCAGACCGTGGTGGAGGATCGCTACGGTTTGGCGTGTGGCGTGTTTCTACTCGGTTTGGTGTGTTTCTACTGCGTCCGCCGGCGAGCGGCGCCATCCGGCCGTCCCCAGGGGTGAGACTGGGAGGCAGCAGGGGTGGCTGCGGGGGCTGAGATATTTCGGAGAGCTGTCATGGTGAAAAGTAAACTTTATTTGTAGAAGGTGTAAAAAAAATAAAACATAACTAGGTCCTTGAAGGTCGAGTAGCTTGTAATTGTAATTTCCGCCCAATCAAAGAAACATGCCTTGAATTCGTACCATCTTTCGCAAGTTAGCCGTTTAGTCTCGATCATATTGTTCCAGTTTTCGACAGCCGTCCTGCATAAAGTTGGCCAGATCGGGACATCATATCCCGCACGTATTTACATGTCTTCATCAACAATCGTGTCACAAAATATAATCGGTCGCATCAAATCGTTCAGATTCGTATGAAATCAACTCTGAACGATTTTATACAACTGAATAGATTTGACAACATACTATTGCTGACGACGATATGTAAATGCATATCGGATCATCAAAGGAGCCAACTAAAGTTGTAAACTTCTTTTGCATTTTGATTTATGTTCCTTTTTTCTTGTCTTTTCAGTAAAATTTCAAAAGCGTGTCATGACGTCACAGTACAGACGGAGCCGCAGCCACCGGCAGACAGTGATACCACAGTGCTGAGAGAGGCGCTAAGGACCGTGACGACGTTCGACGCTCCGTCAGCCCTTGGCGAGGACCAGCTGACGGCGCTCCTGCAGAGTCTTCCCCGCTTGGAGGAGCTGACCGTCAGGGTCCCGTCCTTCGGAACGGGGCGGTGGCTGCGGCTGCTGCCGACGTCACTGAGGACGCTATACGTTGCCGGTGAGAAGTAGTTGAGGAAACGCGTACTATTACTTCTGAATGGTGGTAGGTACTTACATAGTACATAAAGTAACAGTTTCAGTGATAAACGTTCAGCGGACATATGTGTGCCATGCTACCTACATGCTACACAAACATTAGCCACTGTATTGTACATACCTACTTTATACTCTTGCAAACGAACCTGTATGTACTGAACCTGTATGACCTGTATGTACTGAACTGTATTAATTAACCCTCGCCCGCACATGTCATTTTCCCATCCTAGAACGCACATGGGGGGGGGGGGAGAGGGTTGCCACTAGAGTTGCAAAGTTTCCCTACCGCACTACCGGCATGCCGGTAAATTTTCACTTCCGCAGGTTTTTTTCGTGGTATCTGGCATGTCTTGCCGGTAGCATGCCGGTATTTTTGATTTTGCTCAAAAATAGAAAATATCAGCATATGGTTTAAACTTTCAGGTATTTGAACGTTGAGCTGAGCATTGTTAATAAGATTATTAGAAGGATGAATAACCTGTTGCTCATTTCTATCAGAAATAGAAAAAATAAACCAATATATATTCGGGCGTGGCCCTTCTTCAGTGGTACAAGATCACAATAAAACAAGAGAGACGTATGTGACACACATGAGGCAAAATACAATATTTTGAATCAAATCACTCACAGATATTTTGCATGCGCTTCCAAGATAGGCGTCGATCTAGATTTATATAGTAATAAATAGCTAATAAATGGTGGCACAGTACATACATATGGCACATACATACATATATATAGGTACAGTTCAATACGATACAGGTAAGCTCGGTTTGCATAACAACATTTATATGCCTAGATATGTCATTTTATCGAATCATCGTCCTGTACATCGGGGCATGATATTCGCCATAGCCTATACTGTCACCATAGCCTATACCAAGAATAGCACTTTGTATAACATTGCTAACTATTCGACATCAGCCTCATCAGACATCAGACAGTATGGTCACTGTTATGTGTTTGTGAGTTCGAGTGCATGAGCGTAAGTGTAGGTGTGTGTGTGTGGGGGGGGGGGGGCTATGTTTGTGTATGTGTTAATCATGGATATGTAAGTGAATATGTAAGTGAAGATTGGGGGATGAATGGGTAAAAGCAAGAAAGAGTAAGGGAATTAGTCCCGACGATGTGTGAGTGAAGGCGTCAAATAATGTGATCTAATCAAAATCTAAGTATGTACTATCTGGCGTGATCACAAGACCGTCTATAGCTCTGAGTATGGTACTGGCTTGATGAGCGTCCAAGATGATGTCATTGTGTTGAGTGTGGGGCGATGATTGCGAATTTCGATGGACTCGGCGATCTTCAGCTCAGCTACGTCTTTGCAGATTTGAAGAATTGTAATGGAGAGGGCATCGTGGCTCGGCTCTACGTTACAATGGCAGGTCATGAAGTGTTCTCCGAAAGGGGTGTTTCTTGTGTGGTTTTTGGCGTCACGTAGATGCTCGTTAAAGCGGAGCCTAACGCTTCTTTTACTTTCACCTATGTAGGTGACTTTTTGGGTGCAGAGGTTGCAAATGATCTGATAGACTACGTTTTTTACGTGGCATCTACCCTTGAGTCCAGCTAGACAGCAGTGACATTTTTTGTTCCCTGCTGGACACGGTGGCTTTTCTAGAGCTGAGCTGGTGAGTTTCTGTGAGAGGGTGGGGCCACTTTGCCATGCTATTCGCATCGACAGGTTGGACTTTTTCACGATGGATTCGATTTTCTTAGAGAGGTTATCATCTATGAAGGGAAGGGTGACGTACGTGATGTCACTAGGGCTTTTAGATAGTTTTTGTGCCGGGCTCATCTTTTCTTTATCACTCGTTTTGACTTTGCTGTTCGTTTTTACTGAGAATTTAGTTTTTCTGATGAGCTTAGTGGGGTAGCCGTTGGCGATGAACAGCGATTCAATTCTGTTCATGCCGCGTTCCTGGGCTGATGTTGAACTTCCGAGACGCTGAGCTCTTAGAAGTTGAGAGTAGAGCACCGATCTTTTGGTCTGGAAGGGATGGGCTGATGTGAATGGAAGGATGATGGGAGCGGCCGTGGGTTTTATGTAGAGTTCAGTGGCTAATGAGTTATTTTTTTCCAGCGTTACCAAGGTGTCGAGGAAGGGGATTTGTTTTTTGTCAGATCGGTCGCTGCGTTCGATAGAAAATTTAAGCGAGGGATGGAAGTTGTTGAGGTAATCGAGGAAGGCGTCTAGAGTATCAGGTCCGTGTGTCCAGACTCCGAAAATGTCATCAATATATCTTACATATAGGGCTGGTTGTAGATTTGCTGAAGCGAGGATCATACTTTCAATCGCGTCCATGAATATAATGGCCAAAGGGGGAGCCACGCGGCTGCCCATGGCAATCCCATGGGTTTGTTTGAAGTATTGTTGTCCGAATCTTAAGTAGTTGTTGGTCAAACAGTGCTTCAGGAGGTTTTCTATGATAGGTGGGCTAAGGTCTAAAAGGTCTATCTTTTCCTTGTGTTTAGAGATAAGCTTCATCGTGAAATCTATCGCTTCGCTTATGGGAATGTTTCCGTAGAGGTTCGCTACGTCAACTGTGAATAAAATCGAACCAGTTGGCACACGTCTGGGGAAGGATTCATTTAAGCGGTTGAGAAATTCGTAGGTGTTTTTCAAGTGAGCTGGGACGAAGATCAGAAGTTGGGTTATGAGCCGTTCCAAAAACCATGTCAGTTTATCCAAGGGGTCACCACAGGCTGAAACTATAGGTCTAAGGGGCATATCGGGCTTGTGGCTCTTTGGTAGACCGTATAGCTCAGCAGTCCTAGAAGAGGAGGGTTTTATCGCGTTGACGACTTTGTCACTGACTTTCCCCGCTAGGTTTGCCGAAATGATTCTTTTTGTCTCAGCTTCAAGTCGGGGTGTGGGATTCTTAGGCATCTGTTCATACTGGGATGTGATAGACTGTGCTTTTTGAACATATGTATCCTTAGGAACAAATCCTTTGCCCTTATCAGAGCGTTTTGCAATAATTTCTGGATCGGAGCGAATAGCATCTAAAGCGTCTAAATCTTCTTTTGAGTGGTTAGGTTTGTTCGAGGTGCGATGGTTTTTGAAGCAGTTCATGACCTTTTGTTTGAGTGCTCTGAGTGCACGTTCTGTGTCTTGGTCAGAGGTTGGTGCCATTCTGGTGTCTGTATCACTAAATCTTGGTGCTAAGTTTAGTTGTTTGATACTAGGCTGGCTGTTTTGATCATTGTCGTTGTTAGGGTTGTTTATGTGCGTGGGTTGTTGTTGCTGTTGTTGCTGCTGGGGCTGCTGTTGGTGCTGTTGTCGCATCGACGCCTATCTTGGAAGCGCATGCAAAATATCTGTGAGTGATTTGATTCAAAATATTGTATTTTGCCTCATGTGTGTCACATACGTCTCTCTTGTTTTATTGTGATCTTGTACCACTGAAGAAGGGCCACGCCCGAATATATATTGGTTTATTTTTTCTATTTCTGATAGAAATGAGCAACAGGTTATTCATCCTTCTAATAGGTTTAAACTTTGGGCACTAAGAGGCTATCAAATTATAATAACAGCAATATTAGCCACTGCAAAATACAATTTGTGGTAGAAGTTACATTGCTAAGGGTAGGGATAACATTATGGACCTCAGCGATTCACAGGTTTCGTTATAATTAGGATTGTCAAGAATCTACTGTGGTCAATAGGTAAATGGAAGAATTTTATTCATGCTGCAAAAGCTCGATCAATCAGTAAGTCTAATGGTATGTAATAGGTAAAATACAACAAAATAAATAAATGTTCATGACAACGTTCCTACAGGAAAAGGCAGAATCAAAACACCACAAAACACATTGTTTGGAAACTGGCCTTGAGTCCTGAGATGTGGTCTGAGATACTCTACAAAGTATTTGACACTGAAAATCCAGCTGAAAAGGCAGGTATTAGGTAGCCCTGAGTCTGACTTTGGTCCCAAAAATGAAATGAAAATCAAATAAACTGGCATTTTGTCTCATCTTTACAAGAAAACACAATATGCATACAAAATAAACAAAGTGGCGCAGAATAACAGGGGAACCAAGCCTTGGTTCCAAGGATTTACTTTTTAGATCTTCTCTCCCCTGATGGAAGGATGTAAGATGATGACGTAATATTTATTCGTATGCCTTTTTGGTTTAATTCCTGAGAGGGAATGCATTTTCTTGTAGTGAACTAAACTCACAATGTTGATTACATCAGAATTCAATATCGTTTTGGATCATTTACATCAACAAATCATTTATGAGGCAGTTTGCTACAGTTCAGAAACTTTTTTTGCAGCAATTTAATCAGCTGGTTAAAAGTCTGTTATTATGGCGCATCTGTTTCGAAATCTTTGATAGTTGATAACCTTGTGTTTGAAGAGGAAGATTCTTCGAGAAAGCGGGTATCAGTAGGCGGAACTATGGTCATGAGTACCCAAATATAGGAACGTTCCCATTTTTGGGAACGGAGTTCCCAAATATGGGAACGGGCGTTCCCATTTATGGGAACGGAAGGTAATTTTTCGGCCGTTCGCCCACTAAAACTCATTAGTGCATCACGTCTCAAAAAAGTGCACGCTAATTTAAGTATCTACCAAGTCTCTATAAAATTATCTTTAATCTGACCGTTGCACAAGGAAATTGACCGTCGAATGATATTTTTAATGATTTTTTGAAATGACGGAATGCTGAAAACATGGGTTATACTACATTTAACTTGCAATTTTAAGGAAAATGAAGCGGTTTTTACATTTTGAGGTCAAGTATAATAATTTTCGCCTGGTTATGAAGTTTCATACTAGCGACACCAGATGCTGACATATGCAAGCGAACACGCGGACAGTCCGGGGGTAATATTGGTGACATTTGGTGTCGGGGCGCACGACCGCATGGAACGTCAGTGATTTTACCGAACTACTGTTGTAAACTTAGTTTCAGTGGTTTAAAATTATTCAGCTGTATTATATCATCCCAGATAGA